AGGAATTGCAATACTTATGAATAGAAATGGTAATGCTGTTTTCTGACATCATTAAGCTTAGTTGGTGGAGACGTTCTAAAACGCCATGGCCGTGATCATTCCATTGCTAGATAGTAACCTTCTTACTTCACAAACCTACAAGATATCAACAGCTGACATATAAATTTATAACGTTTTGAAAGATCTTTGTTGGCGTGCTATGTGGTTTCATTGTTTTTTTGTTTTTTGTTTTGCATTTTTGGGGTTCCAGGTAGATATTTTCGTTGCAGGTTTGTTACAGAATTAGTGACTTTGAATTTATCCAAATTGTAAACCAGACAGTTATGTGCCCTCTGTTATGGTCCTGTGAGTCGGTAAAGGATTGCTGTAGTCCTGGGAGTCGGTAGAAGATTTCTGTAGTCCTGGGAGTCGGTAGAAGATTTCTGTAGTCCTGGGAGTCGGTAGAGGATTGCTGTGGTCCTGGGAGTCGGTAGAGGATTGCTGTGGTCCTGGGAGTCGGTAGAGGATTGCTGTAGTCCTGGGAGTCGGTAGAAGATTTCTGTAGTCCTGGGAGTCGGTAGAGGATTGCTGTGGTCCTGGGAGTCGGTAGAAGATTTCTGTAGTCCTGGGAGTCGGTAGAGGATTACTGTGGTCCTTGTATTTGGTAGAGGATTTCTATGGTCCTTGACTTATCACCAATACCTTCAAAATTGATACTGACAACTACCCTATTCATCAACGTGTATACGATATCAGACTTTATCAGTAGGAAACCTAACACATTAATATTTCATCTGCCGTTTGTTATTGACTACCCCGTGTTATGTGTGACCGCTTTAGAAGTCTCGTAACTTATTTATACGGTTTATTGGCATTTGAATGCTGCATTAGTGACAATGAAACGGTTTTGACATGTCCTTTGCTGTTCACTGCACGGGGTTGTAGACAGAGTGATGACACGCTAGTGGGGATTTTTATAGTGGTACTTCGATCGTGTAGTCAGTGTCGGTATATAAATTACTGGTCCGTTGTAACTCTTTAATGCCGGTGTTTGTCCTTGCTGTCAGTGTTAGATGTTATCTAAGTCCTGTTGTTTAGAGTTTCCATGTTTCCATTTTACTTGGTGGCGATATTATTGTTTAATGTTATTTTTAACATTGTTGTTTTGTTTGTTGTTGTTGTTGTTGTTTTTAAGTTTTATTGTGTAATGCCATAAAATTTTGTACTAGAGTTAACTAAGCGACCTTGTTGTTTGTATTTGTTGCTGTGGTTTTGTTGTTTGTTTTGATGTGTTTTGAATTGTTGAGTGGTGATGTGGCTTATTTTATCTTATTTATTTATTTATTTTTTTTTTTTGCATTATTGTTTAATATAAACGTTATTTCATTCATAGGCATTTACATATACATCACACTACATAACAAGTTTTTTCTACCCATAGACAAAGTGTACAGTATGGTCGTCCGATGACTGTCGTTGTGAAGTGTTGGTGGTGTTTGATGGCGATGAGACATTCGCTATTGTGGGCGAGATGTTGCTTTGCTTAAGTCTGTTTTCGTTCGTGTAGTGGCATGGTTCTACGAGAGAGTAAGCCATTTGTATAACTTGTCATTCATTGGAAGTATGATTAGATTTGCTGCGACTTTCCGTGTATTTAGCTCAGAGTAGATAGATGTTGGTTCAAGTGTAGTGATAGTCTTATCTGGGGGACTATCGGCGAGACATTCAGAAACACGGCAACCTTCTCTATCAGGTATCTCTCAACACAGGGTACACGTCTTAGTTAAAGGGCTATAGCCATTTAAGTATATCAACTACCATGCATATATATACTTACTTGTATGTGTCAGTTGAAATATAATGTCGACAGGTGTGTATCTGTATATTTCATTACACACCGTCTGTCCGTCCGACTTTTTGTCCGCCATCATTTTTTTACTTCTAAATATAAAGAAGAGAATAATGATATTTGGCGAGTACCACGTTTGAATGAATTGACTAAAGGACTTTGATGTTTGTTAAATGGATTAAATGTTTTGTTAAACAGAATAACATTGATCAACATCCATGGTGGCTGTTAAGGTAGACACTTCTTCGACCATTCAGTGATGTGCAGTAGCGTATAATATACTATTCAAAACATCTGGTTCTATTCAGACGACCAAATGTTCTTTAACTGTAAAAGACTAGGTCTATCACTGAATGGCCATAAAGTGACCCTCCTTTCAAATAACCTTGTCTAACGAACCATGAAACGCACAGTCACGATTTTAAACCATCAACTTGTATAAATGATGGCTACCTGGGTTGTTGATTAGAATCACAGTGGTCAGTTATACATTGAGCTGCTTAGATTTGACATTCATAGGCATATGCGTGCCAACAGAATATGGACAGATTCCTTGAGGAGTGATAACACTGTGGGTTGGATTTCTGTTTATCCAATTTGCATTGACGATGCTATATCTGGGCAACGTCATAAAATGGCAAAAAATGTTTACTGGTTTCTGCTTCATATGAGTTCACGCATCAATAACCTTATGCTGGCTCAGGTACGTTTATAAATGTTCAAATCCCTTTTTTTTCTTCTTCTTTAATACCTAAGAGTCACATAGCGTTTATATCATGCCATTTGCTTGATGACATTTGTAAAAATGTTACTTAAACACCATAAAATATGCACACATTGGTGGAGTATAAATTTCATACGAATGAATGGTCCTGAAAATAAAAAGGAACCATGGTTCTTGATCACCAGGGTGCTGGGACGAAGAGGTCGTCAAATCAATCATGTCGACCTATTGTCACAGTCACTAGACCAAATCTGTTAGAACAGTGCAATAGAGCGATGTTTGTGCAAGTCTGGCGTATGTGTCAAAATATTCAAACAATTAAGTACGAGACACCAAGAAGTCTGGAGTCCCTTTTTGAGCCGTTTGGTTCATTCTCACTTAGCCAACATTCTGAAATTTACCAGTACTACCTGGCCAACATGTCAAATTTTACACCTGATTAATTTTCAGCTATAGTCTGTCCCTACTTTCCTTGACAGAAAATATTAAAAAATGACAAGTTGAATATGATTTATAACATAAAGATTTAGATCAATTTATGTAGGAAATCATATTTAATTCTTAAATATTTGCTGCAATTACTTAATACATATGTATTAAAATCAACATGCATTATGCAATATATTCTAAAATCTTAATCTCAAGAGTTTAAATTGTGATATCAATAAGAAATGTATTTACAAGTGTTTTAATCAATATTTTTTTTTTCAAAATGACTGATTTAGAACTGAAAACGCAAAAAGAATCTATTCCGTGCTGAGAGTAATTCTAAAATATATAATATCCTATTAGATGTTGTTGTGTCTTCTGTTAATCACTTACATAACTGATAGAATTGTTAAATATAATTAGATATTGTTAACATTAATTGCTTAAATGTTGTTTTATAATTTCTTAGTCCGTTCGTGAAATAATGGTAATTGTGTACCTAAATGTTTACCTAAAATTTTAAAAATGGATGTGATGAAAGAAGACATCAGAGCTTGGATGGGTGTTACCATTTCTTCTTGGCTTGGGAGGGTAGGCATTACAATAAAACATATCAAAGGTCTTGCGCTAATTTTCATATGTTCAAATCGTTCGTATTCCATGATGGCTAATCCACAAGTTAACATCGACTTCATAGAAAGTGGAAGGGGTGGATACTATCTTCTTCATGCAGGCTACAAATTTTCGTTAGGACCAGACGTAATGATAGAGTTTATTGGAGATGTGTACAGAGACCGTGCCCGGCCACTATTACAACACTGAACAACATTCCAGTTACCTTTGGAAATATCTATGACCATCCCGGGGATACCATCAAACTGGCAGCGGATGTGTTTCTCAATGATGTTAAACAACGTTGTCGTGAAGAAGTTTGTCCTATTCCTACTATCTTTGACGAAGGCATTAGGAAATCTGCGTGACAGAGATTTTGATGATAATGTTGGTGAGATGATTTCAAAGATTCCCACATTTGAGAGTTGTAAAGCATCCCTCTACAGAGCCCGTTCAAAGACTTTGCCAAAACTTCCATCTACACAACAAGAAGTGGACTTACAGGGCGCCTGGACGGAAACCCCAGCAGGAGAGAGATTTCTTCTTTGTGATGACACCGACGGTAACGGACACAGAATCATCATTGACGAACTAAAAACTCTAGTGAGACGCGCAGCTGTGCTTCCGTTAGTGCCCAATGATCAAGTTGAAGATGTGTGGTTTTCTGCCCTAGACAGCAATGACGATATTAGCCCTGAAACTACACGATGTAAGGACTATGTTATAGAAACGTGGGTTGAGGGACAAATTGTAGCTTTGTGGAACCACTATGACAACGATGGCCCAAATCACGTTGAGGAATGGCACAGCAAGGTCAACAAGCTCTGTCAGCATGCGGCTGTTCAGCCTCTCAAGAAAATTCAGGCTACCGATGAATCAAAGATTATCCAACTTTCGACCGGAGGTAAACCAAGACCAAAGAAGAGGAAATACCGCCACATAGACTCTCGCCTCAGTCAACTGAAGGACCAATACAGAAATGGACAAATAGATGCGCTCGGTTATGCTGATGCTGCTTCCCATCGACTGCATTAACAGTAAAACAGTGAAATAAACTGCATGTGTTGCATAAAAAATGAAATACATATTCCTACGTTTTTCTATGATTCTATAATTGAAAAATAGTAGCTATGTGTGTACTTTCTTATATTCCTATGTTTTTATATAATTTAAAAATAGTAGCTTTGTTTCTTATATGTATAGGGTGTTTGAGCAAGTTAATACTGTAAATGTATTCAATGTGAAATAAAAATACATGTAATTCTTAAATATCCAGGTTTTTTTTCTCATTTTTCTCTTAGCAGTACACAGTTTCTCGATGTGGTCATGGGTGATATTGATGATTTAATTAAAATTTAAAAACTAAATCCTTGCTAAACTTGGTATTGTCATGTTGAAGTGGACGGTATGGGGTTTCATATTCTTCAGAATAACAGTTTTGCGTCGTGTTGGAGATTACGAATCGATGTCTACACACAAAAAAATAGTTTCACAAGAAGTGAAATTTCCATTGTGTTTACACGTGGTCATGTTGTGAAGGCGTTACAAGTTGGAATTTGCTGTAATGGAAGTATGTTTGTTACCTTAACAGTATTGCTGATTTTAGACAACTGTTCCGAAATAAATTTCTTCTATAAAGTTGTAGTGTTAGTTTGGAATTAGCTGTATTTTCGCATTCTTAGCATTTTTTGTTGGTAATCATGGTAATCACATGTCAGTAACCAAAAGAAATTTTTGATTTACGCAATGTTTATTTCTCTACAATTATTGTAATGTAGTTTATAAATACGTATCCGTATAAGGATGTATTTTTCATAACCAAACTGCTATACCTGTGTATCTCAAACATGACCATTAATTTCAGGAAGAAAGCAAATTAACTGTTTCCTATCACCTATAATGAGGAAGGATAGAAGGAAGGAAGGAATGTGGCATTAATTTTTGCTTCAGACAACCTTTATACTTTTTAAATAAGCGACAATTCTCCTAAAGGTTTAACAGCCTGAAGAAACGATGAGTGTAAATATACAATTTGAAAGATTGATTCATGGTCAAAACGTTACCGATTTAACTTTAAAACGAGGATCGGTAACTTCCCATGTTGTAAACTTAATTGTTGGAATAAACGGAAAGAGGATGATCACTCTGGATGATTCCCTCACTTGGTTTCAGAAAATGAAGATTGACCCTAGAAAAATGACCTTAGTCTTAATGATGTCATTTACAAATGTCATATTTCTATTTGGGTATGACGTCTGACGTCTGTCATTACCTTAGTTATTATGTGTTCGTCCCTGTAAGGAAAACATTGTAGATATCTTAGATACCAATCATCCTACAGACATCCCACAGAGCCACCATCCTACAGACATCCCACAGAGCCACCATCCTACAGACACCCCACAGAGCCACCATCCTACAGACATCCCACAGAACTATCATCCTACAGACATCCCACAGAGCCACCATCCTACAGACATCCCACAGAACTATCATCCTACAGACGTCCCTCAGAGCCACCATCCTACAGACATCCCACAGAACCACCATCCTACAGACATCCCACAGAACTATCATCCTACAGACGTCCCTCAGAGCCACCATCCTACAGACATCCCACAGAACCACCATCCTACAGACATCCCACAGAACTATCATCCTACAGACGTCCCTCAGAGCCACCATCCTACAGACATCCCACAGAGCCACCATCCTACAGACATCCCACAGAGCTATCATTCTACAGACATCCCACAGAGCTATCATCCTACAGACATCCCACAGAGCCACCATCCTACAGACATCCCACAGAGCCATTATCCTTAGGACATCCCACAGAGCCACCACCCTACAGACACCCCACAGAGCCACCATCCTACAGACATCCCTCAGAGCCATCATTCTACAGACATCCCACAGAGCTATCATCCTACAGACATCCCACAGAGCCACCATCCTACAGACATCCCACAGAGCCATTATCCTTAGGACATCCCACAGAGCCACCATCCTACAGACACCCCACAGAGCCACCATCCTACAGACACCCCACAGAGCCACCATCCTACAGACATCCCACAGAGCCACCATCCTACAGACACCCCACAGAGCCACCATCCTACAGACATCCCACAGAGCCACCATCCTACAGACACCCCACAGAGCCACCATCCTACAGACATCCCACAGAACTATCATCCTACAGACATCCCACAGAACTATCATCCTACAGACATCCCACAGAACTATCATCCTACAGACACCCCACAGAGCCACCATCCTACAGACATCCCACAGAGCCATTATCCTTAGGACATCCCACAGAGCCATTATCCTACAGACATCCCTCAGAGCTATCATCCTACAGACATCCCACAGAACTATCATCCTACAGACACCCTACAGAGCCACCATCCTACAGACATCCCACAGAGCCATTATCCTTAGGACATCCCACAGAGCCATTATCCTACAGACATCCCTCAGAGCTATCATCCTACACACATCCCACAGAACTATCATCCTACAGACACCCTACAGAGCCACCATCCTACAGACATCCCATAGAGCCATTATCCTTAGGACATCCCACAGAGCCATTATCCTACAGACATCCCTCAGAGCTATCATCCTACAGACATCCCTCAGAGCCATCATCCTACAGACATCCCACAGAACTATCATCCTACAGACATCCCACAGAACTATCATCCTACAGACACCCCACAGAGCCACCATCCTACAGACATCCCATAGAGCCATTATCCTTAGGACATCCCACAGAGCCATTATCCTACAGACATCCTTCAGAGCTATCATCCTACAGACATCCCACAGAACTATCATCCTACAGACACCCTACAGAGCCACCATCCTACAGACATCCCATAGAGCCATTATCCTTAGGACATCCCACAGAGCCATTATCCTACAGACATCCCTCAGAGCTATCATCCTACAGACATCCCTCAGAGCCATCACCCTACAGACATCCCACAGAGCCACCATCCTACAGACATCCCACAGAACTATCATCCTACAGACACCAAACAGAGCCACCAACCAACAGACATCCCACAGAGCCATTATCCTTAGGACATCCCACAGAGCCATTATCCTACAGACATCCCTCAGAGCTATCATCCTACAGACATCCCTCAGAGCCATCACCCTACAGACATCCCACAGAGCCACCATCCTACAGACATCCCACAGAACTATCATCCTACAGACACCCTACAGAGCCACCATCCTACAGACATCCCACAGAGCCATTATCCTTAGGACATCCCACAGAGCCATTATCCTACAGACATCCCTCAGAACTATCATCCTACAGACATCCCTCAGAGCCATCATCCTACAGACATCCCACAGAACTATCATCCTACAGACACCCTACAGAGCCACCATCCTACAGACATCCCACAGAGCCATTATCCTTAGGACATCCCACAGAGCCATTATCCTACAGACATCCCTCAGAGCTATCATCCTACAGACATCCCTCAGAGCCATCATCCTACAGACATCCCACAGAGCCACCATCCTACAGACATCCCACAGAGCCATCATCCTACAGACATTCCACAGAGTCACCATCCTACAGACATCCCACAGAACCATCATCCTACAGACATCCCACAGAGCCACCATCCTACAGAGCCACCATCCTACAGACATCCCACAGAGCCATCATCCTACAGACATCCCACAGAGCCATCATCCTACAGAGCCACCATCCTACAGACATCACACAGAGCAATCATCCTACAGACATCCCACAGAGCCATCATCCTACAGACATCCCACAGAACCACCATCCCGCAGACATCCCCACAGAGCTATCATCCTGCAGACATTCCACGGAGCCATTATCCTACAGACATCCCACAGAGCCATCATCCTACAGACATCCCACGGAGCCATCATCCTACAGACATCCCACGGAGCCATTATCCTACAGACATCCCACAGAACCACCATCCTACAGACATCCCACAGAGCCATTATCCTTAGGACATCCCACAGAGCCATTATCCTACAGACATCCCTCAGAGCTATCATCCTACAGACATCCCTCAGAGCCATCATCCTACAGACATCCCACAGAGCCACCATCCTACAGACATCCCACAGAGCCATCATCCGACAGACATCCACAGAGTCACCATCCTACAGACATCCCACAGAACCATCATCCTACAGACATCCCACAGAGCCACCATCCTACAGAGCCACCATCCTACAGACATCCCACAGAGCCATCATCCTACAGACATCCCACAGAGCCATTATCCTACAGAGCCACCATCCTACAGACATCACACAGAGCAATCATCCTACAGACATCCCACAGAGCCATCATCCTACAGACATCCCACAGACAACCCACAGAGCCATCATCCTACCGACATCCCACAGAGCCATTATCCTACAGACATCCCACAGAACCACCATCCCGCAGACATCCTACAGACATCCCACGGAGCCATCATCCTACAGACATCCCACGGAGCCATTATCCTACAGACATCCCACAGAACCACCATCCTACAGACATCCCACAGAGCCACCATCCGACAGACATCCCACAGAACCACCATCCTACAGACATCCCACAGGGCCACCATCCTACAGACATCCCACAGAATCTCCATCCTACAGACATCCCTCAGAGCCACCATCCTACAGACATCCCACAAAGCCACCATCCCACAGACATCCCACAGAGCCACCATCCTACAGACATCCCACAGAACCACCATCCTACAGACATCCCACAGAGCCATATAGCAGCTTGAATTATTACTGTTGTGTTTTGTTGTCAATGATCAAGACGGCGGACTGTTCTAATGAATGTGAAAACGTTGTATCAGCGTCACAATGATTGTTCTTTGTGGCTCTTAAAACCTGTTGGTTGAGCAAAACGCGAATATTTTTCTATCCTCTCAGAATTTTATCAAAAACAGTGATCGGTTTTAAGGTCACCTGTGATATATATCTTATGACGTTCTGTTCCTGATCTAAGCGACGACTAAATCACGATACAAGCGGGATAACTCGCAGTTTTATAAACAGATAAGGACAATGCTGTATTTGTTTCGAAGGATAAAAACTAATACAAAAATAACCTCAGTGTTTGTTTCTTTTTCCATGGCTGTATGAGTTTTAAAAATCTATGTTATTTTTATAATAATGTTTGCTTTGTTGCAAATATCACAAGTGTCTGATTCTAATAAACAGAACACCTATTCAGTAACAATAAAATCTCCCTCTGTAGCAATGATTTGTTAAGTAAAAATACGAAGACTTCCGAGTCTCTGTTACAGAAGAGCTTCACAACAATGACTCATGGTGTAGTTGACATTGATTTCCTCCACTACGTTACGACGTAGATGTTGTAGAGATGGAAGTAGAAGATACGCCCGATATTATCGCGGCTGTTCGCTCGGACAACGTGGATTTGTTAAGCCGTTGCTTGTCCGAAGGATGTCAGCAAATTGATATAGACCAGGCTCTCTGTGAGGCTGCACAGAAGGGAAATCCAACTGTTGTAAAAATTTTACTACAAAATGATAACCCCAAACCTAACCTACGTTTTGTATATGAACACAACCAGCGGGCGATACACTACGCGTGTGTTGGAGGAAACACAGAAGTGGTCAAACTTTTGTATCAGGCTGGCTCGGCCATCCACGCGGCAGATGAACTGGGACAACATCCGTTACACATTGCCGCTAAACTCGGACACGTGGAAGTGGTCAGATATCTGTTGTCTAAAAGTGCGCATATCAATTCCAGTAAAACATTTGACGTGCACGCAACACCACTTCACTTGGCTGTAGAAGCCCGACAATTAGATTGCGTGGCGGTGTTAGTTGATTCCGGCCGAGCGAACCTCAATACCCGAACATCCCGCAAAGAGGGAGGCAACACACCGCTACACATTGCAATCCTCTGCAAATTCCTGGAGGGGGTACGATTGCTTTGTGACCGCGGAGCTGATGTCAACGCCCCATCTTCGGCGGGTGGGAAGTCTCCACTGTATTTTGCAGCTAATATGGAGGAACCAGAATTTATTTGGTGTCTGCTGGCAGCTGGGGCAGATGTTAACGCTAGAACAACGCAGGGCTTGACACCCTTGATAACAGCATCCTTGAGTAACAGACAGGAAAATGCCATGGCACTGATAGAGTATGGTGCCAATGTAAACTACTCAGACGATGACAATGGACTTACGCCAGTTAACGCTGCCATCACAGCTGGGGCCGATCTTACTCTCCGTGTTCTTCTAGCCGCTGGAGCAGACCCAAACGCACTTACAAGAAGGCGTGAACATCCCCTGTTGACGGCAGCCTCCCTCGGAAACCCACTATGTGTGCGGCATTTGTTAGAGGCAGGGGCGAACATCGACGCGAGGACTCCGAAGGACGCTACTGTTCTACACAGGTGTCAGAGAATAAAATGTAGGTCGTTATAAACAGGTAATATATTGCAGGATCACTATAGTGGCCCATTGACAGGTGTTTTTGAGGGGCGGCAGCTAGATGACCCGTATGGCCATCTGATAAATTTAGGGAAGGGTAGGCAGTGGTACGCTTGGGAGCCTGATCACCTGTATGACACCTTCATTATTCAGAATTAGGGACAGGTCAGTCTAACACTGTCTATGTATATGACTTGTTCAGGCCACAAGACATTGCATTACCTTTAATCTGAAATTAAAACTTGGGTGTCTTTGATGACCCTTCTAATTTCTCTGTCTGAATATTGAGAGCTGTCGAGAGTAAGTCGGTGATTGTAGGTAACCATTTTTGTTTCTGAGACGTGTCGGAATTATGAACAATTATGGTATGTAGTTACCTGTAGAAAACCTATTTTGTTGTAGATGGTGAGGCACGTGATGGGGTTGTGCACGCTTTGATTGAGGGCGGGGCCCAGCTGAACGTGTATAACAATGAGGGATACACGCCTCTCCATAACTGTGTTTTCCAAACGACACTGGACAACTTCTCATTATCCACACTCAAACTTATGATAATGGCAGGGGCTAGGGTAGACCTAGGAAAACAGAGCAACAAAAAGATAGGAAGGTATGTAGCTTATCTACACAATTACAGTGACAAATCGCAAGGTAGGTAACACCTTGATTAACGGTCACAAGGTAAGTAACACCTGGATTAACGGTCACAAGGTAGGTAACACCTGGATTAACGGTCACAAGATAGGTAACACCTGGATTAACGGTCACAAGATAGATAACACCTGGATTAACGGTCACAAGATAGGTAACACCTGGATTAACGGTCAGAAAGTAGGTAACACCTGGATTAAAGGTCACAAGGTAGGTAACACCTGGACTAAAGTTCACAAAGTAGGCAATACCTACATTAACTGTCAAAAGGTAAGTAACAACTGGATTAACGGTCACAGGGTAGGCAACACCTTGATTAACGATCACAAGGTAGGTAACACCTGGATTAACGATCATAAAGTAGGTAACACCTGGATTAATTGTCACAAGGTATGTAACAACTGGATTAACGGTCACAAGGTAGGTAACACCTTGATTAACGATCACAAGGTAGGTAACACCTGGATTAACGATCATAAAGTAGGTAACACCTGGATTAATGGTCACAATGTAGGTAACACACCTAATCAAACTCTGGATTTATATATTTTACTATAAGTTTAGGACCATTCATATCTTAGATAGGGCTTAAATTTGCTTAAGGAAACTGTTTAAAACTATACAAGAAATGTAGGAAAAGTTTATGCATGTAACGAAACTATACACAATCGATACGAAAGGAAAATTACAGAGATATTTAAAAAGAAGAGTATCTAATCATTGATTTCTGTTGGGTATGAAAACGACAAAACAAGGGTATAGCCACCACGCTTTCGGTACATTTTTTGTGTCCGTGGTCTCATATCATTAACCAGACGCCGAAGTTTGTTCTGGAGAAAACGGAATGTTTGGCATCTTGGATCCCATGTAGTGCCTTTTTGGCCAATGTCTTCCCACATACGCTCAATTTGGGATCATGTCTGGTGACATTGTAGACCATGGGACCGTTTCTACCAACCCTTTCTTGCACAAGGTGGGTTCTGTGTAGTTTGGCATTGCCATCTATTAGGACGGCCCGATCTGCCACAATGGGTGGGCTTCGAAATGCGGAACAACTTGAGGTCGAAGGATCTGATTACGATATTTCTGTCCATTTAAATGTCCGTCAAAGACAGACAAGCGAAGCTTACTGTTTAGAGAAAAGCATCCCCAAACAGTAAAAACGCCACCACCAGATGCTGTTGTGCTTGGAATGTAATTATGATGGTATGTCGTAGATTTTGTCTCATAACACGAACTCTCAGTTCAGACGGATGAAGCGCAAACGGGTTTCATCTTACCAGTGGACTCTTTGCCAAGACAGTCATATTTCATTTTCAGTGATCACGTGCCAATACCGAAATTGATGGTACTAAAGTTATATCTAAGTGTGAACTTGATGAAGTTCGCGACAAACGTTACAAGAGGCTATCACAGAGTAGGCATTCCGACTTCTGGATAACTAACTAGGTAACACGTATCCGGGATTCGAGGTTATAACCCCTAAATACGGCCCTTGTATAACCCCTGAATACGGTAGGTGTATAGCCCCTAAATACGGCCCTTGTATAACCCCTAATTACGGTAGGTGTATAACCCCTAAATACGGCCCGCGTATAACCCCTAATTACGGTAGGTGTATAACCCCTAAATACGGCCCGCGTATAACCTCCAGATACAGCCCTTGTATAACTCCTGAATATGGTAGGTGTATAACCTCTAAATACGGCCCGCGTAAAACCCCTAATTACGGTAGGTGTATAAGCCCAAAATACGGCCCGCGTAAAACCCCCTAAACACGGCCCTTGTATAACCCCTAATTACAGTAGGTGTATAATCCTTAAATATGACTGCTCCGTTTGTAGCCCCTAAATGCGGCCCGTGTATAACCTACATATATGGAGCCTGGTAGTTATTATGTTACCTGGTTTTAGGTTGTTGTATTCATGTTGTCTTGTTTCAGCTCGGGTTTGATGCGGAACTCTCCATTATGTTGGTTAGTCTGGAACAATTACATTGAAGCTGCTGAGTATCTTGTCCGATGTGACTGGTACCTGTTTGACGAGAACTGGATGTATCTTCCCGGGAAAACACGTGAACATGAAGAGTTTAACCAGCGAATACGGTACATTTCGAGCCAGCCCTTCTCACTGACGTCATGTTGTCGCTTGGCAATACGTGAGCAACTCCGCCTGTGCTCTGGGGACCGAGAAATTCTTAGCCGTATATGTATGTTGAAGTTGCCGACCCAAATCAGAGACTTTCTTAGCCTGCGGGAATAGTATTATCGTTCTCGATTTTTATCAAAGGTTTCTCTTCCCAGAGAAATAGAGGGCATGCTCTCGAATTTCATTATGGCGTTACCCGAACTGCATCAAAGGCTTTTTCAGCCTGTGGAATAGAAGTCGCGCTCACAAACTCCATCAAGTCTTATTTCAGCTTGCGAAATTGGTATTCGCACTTCCAAATTCCATCAACGGCTTTTTCAGCCAGAAAGAATGATAGCTGTGCTCCTGAACTCCATCAAAGGCTCTGTCATCCTGCGGAATATCCACAACGTCATCAAAGGTTTCACATTAGAAGGCGCGCTCCCCAAGCTCCTTCAAAGGATTTCACAGTCTGGAGAAATAGAAGGCGCGCTTCCGAACTCCACAAAGGGCTTTCACTACCTACAAGAATGTTCAAGAATTCCATCAAAGGCTTCCACAGCCTGCAGGAATAGTAAGGTCGCTCCATCAAAGGCTTTCAACCGCAGCAGTAATCGTCGTGCTCTTGAAATGTACTTCGTCGTTGGTATGCCTCGTCCTACATGACGCTTTTGCAATTAATCAAAGGTCACGCTGATTTGGTGAACTGCCAACAGACGATCGAGCTACATGTTGTATACTTGAGCTGAGGTAACTTTCACAGATCATCGAACCACGAGTTATACACCAGGACTGACGTCCATAGATCAATGAACTACGTATTATGTAGAAGAGATGACGTCCATAGATCAATGAACCACGGATTATGTAGAAGAGATGACGCCCATAGATCAATGAACTACGTATTATGTAGAAGAGATGACGTCCATAGATCGATATACCACAGATTATGTAAAAGAGATGACGTCCATAGATCAATGAACCACTCATTATGTAGGAGAGATGACGCCCATAGTTCGATGAACCACGGATTATATAAAAGAGGTGACGTCCATAGATCGATGAACCACGGATTATGTAGAAGAGATGACGCCCATAGATCGACGAACCACGGATTATGTAAAAGAGGTGACGTCCATAGATCAATGAACCACGGATTATGTAGAAGAGGTGATGCCCATAGATCGATGAACCACGGATTATGTAAAAGAGGTGACGTCCATAGATCAATGAACCACGGATTATGTAGAAGAGATGACGCCCATAGATCGACGAACCACGGATTATGTAAAAGAGGTGACGTCCATAGATCGATGAACCACGGATTATGTAAAAGAGATGACGCCCATAGATCGATGAACCACGGATTATGTAGAAGAGATGATGCCCATAGATCGATGAATCACGGATTATGTAAAAGAGATGACGTCCATAGATCAATGAACCACGTATTATGTTGAACAGATGACGCCCATAGATCGATGAACCAGGTATTATGTAGAAGAGATGACGTCCATAGATCAATGAACCGGGCATTATGTAGAAGAGATGACGCCCATAGATCGATGAATCAGGTATTATGTAGAAGAGATGACGTCCATAGATCAATGAACCACGTATTATGTAGAAGAGATGAACCACGTGTGAAAATTTAGAAGTCCACCGATTATCGAAACACGTGTGATGTGCAAGTGAAGACGGTCACATAGCGGCAAACCACATTCCAATTATCTCCCTTTAGTTACAAGGCTCGTCAGCTACTTGTAAACTCTTGATGAGAACGAACTATTCAGAGCTAAAGTTCACCTCTGTATTATATAAGTTTGAAGACTCCGTCATTTCAGGATATTTACGTAAAACTCTTTGTTAAACATTCCTCTTGGTGTTAATACAATAAACAATTATACGTCAATAGTGTATTGTTTTCCCTTTTTCACCAGGTAGTCATTGGTCATGGTCATTTAAAGGATGACTAACTAGGTCAAAGGTTACACGTAGTCATTGGTCATGGTCATTTAAAGGATGACTAACTAGGTCAAAGGTTACACGTAGTCATTGGTCATGGTCATTTAAAGGATGACTAACTAAGTCAAAGGTTACACGTAGTCATTGGTCATGGTCATTTAAAGGATGACTAACTAAGTCAAAGGTTACACGTAGTCATTGGTCATGGTCATTTAAAGGATGACTAACTAAGTCAAAGGTTACACGTAGTCATTGGTCATGGTCATTTAAAGGATGACTAACTAGGTCAAAGGTTACACGTAGTCATTGGTCATAGTCATCTTAAAAATGACTAACTCGGTCAAAGGTTACACGGTAGTCATTGGTCATTGTCATTTAAAGGATGACTAACTCGGTCAAAGGTTACCACAGTAGTCAACAGTTATTATTATCACTGAAGTCACGAGCTTTCGTCACCATGGTAATCATCAGCTGTCGTTAACACAATGTTCACCAGTTATCATAAGGATGATCAACCACGGTAGATACCGGTTAAAATGTGGATGACTCGAATGATTATTGGTTACCATGGCAGTCACTGGACATGGGATGTCGGTCTCAAATTTTGGTATTCGTTGTGAGTCCTTTATCAATGATTGACCAGCATGGCAATTAAGTGTCGGTACATGATGTAAAAATAAAAACAATGATTGCTGTCAATTTATAAAAACCATGGGACCGGTCGAGGTAGGAGGCGAGATATGTGGAGGTAGGTGAGGTGAAAGGTGGAGGCAGGGGTTGACATATGGAGGAAGGGGATGGTATGTTAAGAAAATGAAAGTGATACTGTAGAAAGCGAGATATTTGGAAGTGGGGGCGTGATTTGTCTTGATATGTCGAGGTCGGGAACTTGATATGTTGAAGTAGGGGGTGATTTATGGGTGTAAGGAAAGTAATATCTCTGAGATTGGAGACGCATTTTTAGAATGTGAAAGTAGGGAACGAGGTATTTCGAGGTAGATGAAATGATAAGTCGAGGTAGGCACGATATATATTGAGGTGTGGGCGTGAATTGTGAGTATGAGAGAGGTGATTTCTCTATTTTTCAGTAGATTGTAGAAGTACGGGAAGAGATATGTGGAGAAAGGGAAGATGATATGTCGAGGTAGGGGCGAGATATGTGGAAGTGGGTGCGTGATTTGTCGGGGTAGGGGGATGATCAGAGGAGGTAAGAAGCGAGATATGTCGAGGTAGGGGCGATATATGTGGAAGTAGGGGCGTGATTTGTCAGGGTAGGGGTATGATCAGTGGACGTAAGATATAAGATATGTCGAGGTAGGGGCGATATATGTGGAAGTGGGGCGTGATTTGTCGGGATAGGGGAGATGATCAATGGAGGTAAGATGCGAGATATGTCGAGGTAGGGGCGATATATGTGGAAGTGGGGCGTGATTTGTTGGGATAGGGGAGATGATCAGTGGAGGTAAGATGCGAGATATGTCGAGGTAGGGGCGATATATGTGGAAGTGGGGCGTGATTTGTTGGGATAGGGGAGATGATCAGTGGAGGTAAGATGCGAGATATGTCGAGGTAGGGGCGATATATGTGGAAGTAGGGGCGTGATTTGTCGGATAACGGAGGTGATGTCTCTTGAGATTGGGGACGTAAAACGTTGGAAGGGTAGTTGTATTTGGAGGAAGTATGGGGCGAAATATGTAGGGGTACAGGAGATGCTATGTAGAGATACGGTGTCAGAAGGTAGATGAAGTGCTTTATATAGATGGGGAGGGGGGGGGTGATATACGGAGAATGGAACGAGAGATGCAGAGGTAGGGAACGTTATATCTGGAGGTAGAGGACGTGCTATATTAGGGGAGGTATTATCTGAATGTATAGATTGGAGGTGACATGTGCAGATAGGGACGTGATGTACGGTAATGGGAACGTGATACGTGGAGGAAGGGGATGTGATATGTGAATTGAATGTAGGGCACGTGTTGTGTTGATGGAGGGCACGTGTTTTGTGATTGAAGGTGTCCTGTGTTTTGTGATTAAAGGTGTCCTGTGTTTTGTGTATTTTCAGATACTGTTTGTTATGATTTTTCGTGTGGTATAGTAAATGCTTTACAGAAAATCAGATGTGAGATGCAATCTTACTAACTATCTAAAACAGACTGTGTCTAACACGAGTTTTAAATTTGTCTAATATTTAATCTGCATTAGAGATGATGTTGTCTTCAACATTATATACATAGCTTCGTTTTTTCGATCGGTTACCAACGAAACAACATGCTGTCTTCTGATTGGTCAAGCATTAGATATTGTCAAAGTTCGAGGAAACTTGTATATGCACTGTCAGTATGTAAACTAAAAATACAAGTTCATCCTTCATGAGCGTTACTGAAGAATTCTTTATTCGGAAATGAGATATAGTCTTCTATATCAAAGTTAAGATATTGTCTGAGATCGATTGAAGTTTATACCCAAGTGTAAACACAAACCTAATTTCGTTTTCTGATTTTGTAGCAACTACCTATTCTAAAAGCATCATTTACGGTTGTTTAACAATCGGTTACCATGGAAACTAAATGCGGCCTGTTGATTGGTCAAAAATTAAAGAACACCGCCAGTCTCCTATTATCCATATCGCTAATAAAGCAGGTCATCTAGTACCGACAAAGCGCTGTCCATCTCAGCTTCCTGTCCTGTTTGAACATTCATTTTTAGTTAGATCGTGTTAATCATGTCGTTTCCTTTCCGGTATTTTCACTTTTAACTATGCCTGGTTGTACTTAAAATCGATGTTTAAATCTAAAAGAAAATATATTCCGATGTCATTTTTATGTGAAGTTGATAAGATCGTTAAATTGTAATGGTGTTTATTGTGAATAGTTCTATTGTAAATCTGACGAACAAGTCGATTCTCACGTGTTCGTTATAGATAAATATTAGTGAATTTTCTTGTTGTTCCCTCTATTCACTTGTTTGCTTTATGACCGGTATTTCAATTATTCTTTCTCTTGCCGTTGTTTTTAGGGATTTTGGTCTTTTATCTTAACAACATAAATTCGTGATAAAACCTTTTTACCAGTGTATACTTGGCCCCTACCTGCTACGTATAAAACGTGTCTCACAGAGGTCCTTCCTTACACTAATGTTATGCAAATTGTAAGCAGAAGCAAAATCGAAGGCTTGGTTTGATATTAATTTAATTTTTGAATTGTACAAAATAATTTAGAATGGGCTTATCATTTATACAAAACAATTATTTACAGATATACAAGTTGTGATTTTAGAGTGAATCGACGATGACAACGAGACAATCCGAGGAAAACAGGAGACAGTGAAAACATCAGAAATGAGTAAATATGATTTGTGCACATACACACTTCCGCTTACGTAGTTCAACACAAACAGAGTCTGTATCACAGGATGATCAGACACACGAGACTTCCGGTGTCTGTATCACAGGACGATCAGACATACCAGACTACCGGTATCTGTATCACAGTCGATCAGACAGACAAACAAGCCTTCTGGTGTCTGTATCACAGGACGATCTGACAGACCCACGAGACTTCCGGTGTCTATATCACAGGACGATCTGACAGACACGCGAGACTTATGGTGTGTGTATCACATGGCGATCAGAGGGACAGTTTCGACTTCCGGTGTCTGTATCTCAGGACGATCCGAAAGACACGGGAGACTTTCGGAGTCGATATCACAAGCCGATCAGAAAAATACCCTCGATTTTAAGTGTCTATGTCACAGGACAATCAGAAAGACACAATGTCACACAAGTGTATATATATGTGTGTGTAATTGACTTCCAGTGTATACTAATATAGGTTCCATTAACACTACCGTACCCTCCTCTGACGGCTATGCTTAAGACAATACATAACTATGGGTAGATGTGAAGGTCCTCGGACGGACTCAGCTATAGACAGTGTATACTTATGAGTAGAAGTGAAGCGCCTTGGGTTCATAAAAATGTCTAGATATCCCGACTTCGAATCCAAACTCCTCATCAGGTCAACTGACGGTGACCAATGTGACGTGATTGCCAGACTGTGAAACTGGACATCTGTAAAACAGCAAACAAGAGTATATAATATGTACCTTTAAAATTCAAACTATCATGCATTCCCCATAACACAATAAAGAAATCGCTGTCATAACGTGACAATAAGTATGTAACGAGGGAAAACATTCCCCTACCACGAGGGAGAAACCACTCAAAAATGGGACAATAGAGACGTAACGAGGGAAAACATTCCCCTACCACGAGGGAGAAACCACTACAGTAATGGGACAATAGAGACGTAACGAGGGAAAGCATTCCAGTTATGTGACAATAGAGACGTAACGAGGGAAAACATCCCCCTGCCACGAGGGAGAAACCACTACAGTAATGGGACAATAGAGACGTAACGAGGGAAAACATTCCCCTACCACGAAGGAGAAACCACTCCAGTAATGGAACAATAGAGACGTAACGAGGGAAAACATTCCCCTACCACGAAGGAGAAACCACTCCAGTAATGGAACAATAGAGACGTAACGAGGGAAAACTTTCCCCTACCACGAGGGAGAAACCACCCCAGTAGTGGGACAATAGAGACGTGACGAGGGAAAGCATTCCCTCTACCATAAGGAAGAAACCACTCCAGTAGTGGGACAATAGAAACGTAACGAGGGAAAACTTTCCCCTACCACGAGGGAGAAACCACTCCAGTAATGGGACGGTAGAGACGTAAAGAGGGAAAACATTCCCCTACCACGAGGGAGAAACCACTACAGTAGTGGGACGGTAGAGACGTAAAGAGGGAAAACTTTCCCCTACCACGAGGGAGAAACCACTCCAGTAATGGGACGGTAGAGACGTAAAGAGGGAAAACTTTCCCCTACCACGAGGGAGAAACCACTCCAGTAATGGGACAATCGAGACGTAACGAGGGAAAACATTCCCCTACCACGAGGGAGAAACCACTGCAGTAATGGGACGGTAGAGACGTAAAGAGGGAAAACTTTCCCCTACCACGAGGGAGAAACCACTACAGTAATGGGACAATAGAGACGTAACGAGGAAAAGCATTCCCCTACCACGAGGGAGAAACCACTTCAGTAATGGGACAATAGAGACGTAACGAGGGAAAACATTCCCCTACCACGAGGGAGAAGCCAATACAGTAATGGGACAATAGAGACGTGACGAGGGAAAGCATTCCCTCTACCACGAGGGAGAAACCACTTCAGTAATGGGACAATAGAGACGTAACGAGGGAAAGCATTCCCCTACCATAAGGAAGAAACCACTACAGTAATGGGACAATAGAGACGTAACGAGGGAAAACATTCCCCCTACCACGAGGGAGAAACTACTACAGTAATGGGACGGTAGAGACATAACGAGGGAAAACATTCCCCCTACCACGAGGGAGAAACCACTTCAGTAATGGGACGGTAGAGACGTAACGAGGGAAAACATCCCCCCCTACCACAAAACCACAACATTATGACAATAGAGTCATATTATTCTTGCAGGACACACATTCTGGGTTAAATATTCCAGCGCTGCCAATGAAGTGTGACAAGTAGTTTGTTCCTGTCTTAACCGGGTCTCCCACACCACACAACTACACAACCTTATCAACCGAATTTAATTAATAAATTAAACCCGGAATGAAATATAGGGTATTTAATCTGACTGATAATCTCGAGTCCCTTGCCGTGAGATAGATCTGGTGATATGGAGATAAGGAACTGCCAAACATAGTGTACATAGTATATATTAACTATATTTCAACGCTATATTACCTGCATTTGTAGGCATTCTCAATAATATTTCACAGGAGTCGAAGCGTTTCGTTCTATAGGAAGTACAATGCATATGCTTTCACGATAAAAACTATTTTGAAAGGAAATGCTTACCTTATATTCAATGGTGATCTTTTTTTCCAATGAAATCTTTATTTCTTAGGGGATTTTATTTCTCAAAAGTCTTGAATATCTATATCATGCAAATTATGTTATTCTGACAGGGGTACTTAGTGCTAGGGATATTTCGTTTTACGGGGGACTTTATTCCCTGGGATATGTCGACTAGACGATAGCACTCGGTTCCCACGTTTATTTATCTGATATCATCAATACATTTAAATGCATTTTATCTCATCTTATGTGTGTTTTAACTGACACGCCACAGACTGGTCTTCTGGACTGATATTTTCAATGTCTCTGCCATGGTTCGAACCTGGGTCCCCGGCATTTGAGGTCTATGTTCTAACAGTGAGCTAGATATCCTACGGGGTGTCGAGATATAGAGTGATATCATTTCTACAGAAAATAGATCCAAATTAGATCTTTTATCAAACCCGCACTACACACTACCTTTAGTGACATATCAAAACGTTTACCTACACAAGTAAAAGGGGCACCTGTTTAGGAGCGCTAATTGTTGAGCGCAGCCCTTTAATCCTATAATTTGTTTACATTTACACACACACTGAGCCATTACCCCGCTCTTCACTAGATCAATATTTCACTTTTGAGGTGAAAAACTTTATTTGATCACACTCGCTGAAGAAGGAACTGAGTGGCTTCTATTAAAGTAATCCGGTAACGTGTGTGATTGCTACAACAGGTGCCGACATTTTGTTGGTCCAGCTAATTGACGTTTAACTATGATCTCATATTAAGTGCTATCCACTGAACTTGTCCAAATATCACTTTTCAAACCGTTCACTGTTACGCCTATTTTGTTTTTATCTTGGGAGTCTTTCACCATGCCAACCATATACTGGACATGCGTCCACAGTGACCGCCCTCTGTCCGCCCTCTGTGACCCTTAGTACTTCAATAAGAACTTAATGCCGTCAATTATTCTTGGTACTTTGTAATATTTGCTGAGATTTCAACCTCAGTACTTCGGTATATTTTTCTGAGATCCCCACCCCAGTTCTTCGGTATATTTTTCTGAGATCCCCACCTCAGTACTTCGGTATATTTTTCAGAGATCCCCACCTCAGTACTTCGGTATATTTTTCTGAGATCCCCACCTCAGTACTTCGGTATATTTTTCTGAGATCCCCACCTCAGTACTGTATGTATATTGGATAATCAGGACCCCCTATAGTTCAATACTTTAGTAAGACAATAAACATCATCATTACCTTTCGGTGTGTCCGTCCGATTACGCCTGAACCATCGGAAGAGGGATGCTTGCTTCCCGGAATAACGTCATTCTGCCATCCCGCGTTAGGTCAAACTTACTCCGTCTTTTCATAGCACTCATCCGGGTGTTCCCACTAAATAATCTGGTTACAATGGTGTCGACTTCTGCCTTTGGGAGTCTACGATAGCTAAGATATTTGTCCGACTTTTCCTCCTCAATTACATCCTCCTTACACCGTAACAAGTTGATGTTCTCGTCCGACACTCCGACCCGAGCAATGGTCGGCTTCATCAGCCTCGACACAACGTTGTTGACGGCGTGGCGCGAATAATTCCTCAAGGCTGGGGCCCTCGGTACTAGGTATCTGTCATCCGTTGCAAAGTCAGAAGCTTTTAAAACGTTTTTCTTTAAGTCCGAGTTTTCCCTGCTGATTCTTAACATGTCGAAGTTTGGATAGTCCCCACTCCCGCGGTACTTCATGGCAATAGGGTAACCGCTATACATATAGCGTACATCGTTGTTGAGGATGTACTTATGGGTGATGTGAAACTCTCCCATGCTGAAATGATGAAATTCCCGAAAAGTCCTTTTTTCACCTTTAGTGGCTAAGCACTTTTCTATAGTAAGAAAATATGACGTTCGTTTCTACTTCAGCAGAGATACAACAGGGCTTTGGCCAACAGTCTCCGATGGCGCTACAAGACACAGGGGAGTGCCTACACGTCCACCCTCGGTGATGATCGCTCCAACTGTTGTGTAGATACGAGCTCTCCGCACTATAAATGTGACGAGTACCCTGCTAATGTGTACATACAAAGCTCCAATCGGGTTTGGTCTGTCTCATATCGGGTTTGTCACACGAGATACAACTTGTCAATTAACTCATTATACACGTGAAGGACGTCAGTCATTGTCATATTTAAAACGCTGTATTGTTTTGAGTGAGAGAGTGTCAGATCATGACGGCTAAACGTCAAAATCACGTTGGAAGATGACCGTTTTGTAGATTTACCATAAAGATTCGGCAACTGAACGGGATCGAAATGATGGCGTGAGAACTATAAACATGTACCTTAGTACATGAGACAGTGGACTGACGGACGCTTAAGACAGAAGGACGATAGACACGTGAGACAAGAAGTGGAAGTTCACATGAGACCGGAGGCGTACGGACATATGAGAAAGGAGGCAGACAGAAAAGTAAGACAGGAGGCGGGTGGACCCTTGATACGGAGACGGACGAATACCTGAGACCAGGGTTGTGCGTGCACATGTTACCGGATATTGGCGACACGTGGGACAGTAGGCGTACGGATTAATGAGACGGAAGGTGGACGGACACATGAGAGCGGAGGCGGACGGACACATGAGACTTGAGATAGACAGACACATGAGACTATAAGTGGGCGGACGCATGACACCGAAGGAAGACGGAAATTTGAGACTAGAGCTGGACAGACAAATGAAACAATAAGATTGTGACAAATGCTCTGACACACATTAGTGGCAAGTGTCTCTCAATACGATACATGTATCATTCAGGTGGCTAAAACGACACATGTCTTACGGCACGACACATACATTAGTAATGACACCAACAAAACGATGTCTAGCCATACGGCACGTACTTACAGCCGTTACAACACTGACACTCAAGAAAGACACGTGTCTTATTTCTCGACTTGTACTGTTACGTCGATGATCCTCGGGACAAAGGCGCGTTCGTGCAGCAATAGCAGTGACACTCGTAGTCTATATCAAGAATATTTAGTGTAAACTATACAAATGATATTATCTGGAGTTGAAAACCTAGAGTTTTACAAATATATCGTTGAACATACTATAACGACTACCGCCACTTCTAAATGACGTCATCAACGAATCAAAGTTTTGTTCCAAGATAATCTAATCTAGTTTACAATAACATTTTGAACCAAAGTTTTTCCTATTTAAGGCGTCCAAGGAAACTGAAATCCTACTTAATCCCTGGTGGGGATTAGGTATTTGACACCGAGGGCCCTGGGGCCCGCGCTGGCAATTTTGTCTGGATTATCTTATTTTTCATGTTAGGTATTATGTATGTACAATACTTCATTTAGTTAAACTTCACGTGTTTCCATTCACGATGAAGCAATATAAATATACTAATATCAACACAATGACACGGCTCCCTGTTGTGTTCCGTGCCTTAATTGATTTTCCGGGGAGTTTTGTGTAATCCACTTGAGAATCTCCCTAATACGGTTACATCAGTGTCTAACTGTAGTTTCCGGTAACCTTGATACGGGACATATATCTTTTGGTTGACATATCTATGCACTTCTCGCTTTCTCTTGGCGTAGGTGTTTTACAATCAGTAATATTAAGTGACTTTTTACTGACTCTATAAAATCACATTGGTGTAGAATTTAGTGTCACAGTGATGAACCATTCAGTGTTTGTTACTAACTCAATCAAACATTGTCACAGTGATGAACCATTCAGTGTTTGTTACTAACTCAATCAAACATTGTCACAGTGGTGAACCATTCAGTGTTTGTTACTAACTCAATCAAACATTGTCACAGTGATGAACCATTCAGTGTTTGTTACTAACTCAATCAAACATTGTCACAGTGGTGAACCATTCAGTGTTTGTTACTAACTCAATCAAACATTGTCACAGTGATGAACCATTCAGTGTTTGTTACTAACTCAATCAAACATTGTCACAGTGGTGAACCATTCAGTGTTTGTTACTAACTCAATCAAACATTGTCACAGTGATGAACCATTCAGTGTTTGTTACTAACTCAATCAAACATTGTCACAGTGGTGAACCATTCAGTGTTTGTTACTACACTCAGCCAAACATTGTCACAATGGTGAACAATTTAGTGTTTGTTACTAAACTCAGCCAAACATTGTCACAGTGGTGAACCATTCAGTGTTTGTTACTAAACTCAGCCAAACATTGTCACAGTGGTGAACCATTCAGTGTTTGTTACTAAACTCAATCAAACATTGTCACAGTGGTGAACCATTCAGTGTTTGTTACTAAACTCAATCAAACATTGTCACAGTGGTGAACCATTCAGTGTTTGTTACTAAACTCAGCCAAACATTGTCACAGTGGTGAACCATTCAGTGTTTGTTACTAAACTCAGCCAAACATTGTCACAGTGGTGAACAATTTAGTGTTTGTTACTAAACTCAGCCAAACATTGTCACAGTGGTGAACCATTCAGTGTTTGTTACTAACTCAATCAAACATTGTCACAGTGGTGAACAATTTAGTGTTTGTTACTAAACTCAGCCAAACATTGTCACAGTGGTGAACCATTCAGTGTTTGTTACTAAACTCAGCCAAACATTGTCACAGTGGTGAACAATTTAGTGTTTGTTACTAAACTCAGCCAAACATTGTCACAGTGGTGAACCATTCAGTGTTTGTTACTAACTCAATCAAACATTGTCACAGTGGTGAACAATTTAGTGTTTGTTACTAAACTCAGCCAAACATTGTCACAGTGGTGAACCATTCAGTGTTTGTTACTAAAATCAGCCAAACATTGTCACAGTGGTGAACAATTTAGTGTTTGTTACTAAACTCAGCAAAACATTGTCACAGTGGTGAACCATTCAGTGTTTGTTACTAAACTCAGCCAAACATTGTCACAGTGGTGAAAAATTTAGTGTTTGTTACTAAACTCAGCCAAACATTGTCACAGTGGTGAACCATTCAGTGTTTGTTACTAAACTCAGCCAAACATTGTCACAGTGGTGAAAAATTTAGTGTTTGTTACTAACTCAATCAAACATTGTCACAGTGGTGAACCATTCAGTGTTTGTTACTAACTCAATCAAACATTGTCACAGTGGTGCACCATTTAGTGTCTGTAACTGACTCAGCTAGATAGCATGACAGTGGTGAACAATTTAGTGTTTGTTACTAAATTCAGCCAAACATTGTCACAGTGGTGAACCATTCAGTGTTTGTTACTAAACACAGCCAAACATTGTCACAGTGGTGAACCATTCAGTGTTTGTTACTAAACTCAGCCAAACATTGTCACAGTGGTGAACCATTCAGTGTTTGTTACTAAACTCAGCCAAACATTGTCACAGCGGTGAACCATTCAGTGTTTGTTACTAAACTCAGCCAAACATTGTCACAGTGGTGAACCATTCAGTGTTTGTTACTAAACTCAGCCAAACATTGTCACAGTGGTGCACCATTGTCACAGTGGTGCACCATTTAGTGTCTGTAACTGACTCAGCTAGATAGCATGACAGTGGTGAACAATTTAGTGTTTGTTACTAAACTCAGCAAAACATTGTCACAGTGGTGAACCATTCAGTGTTTGTTACTAAACTCAGCCAAACATTGTCACAGTGGTGAACAATTTAGTGTTTGTTACTAAACTCAGCAAAACACTGTCACAGTGGTGAACCATTCAGTGTTTGTTACTAAACTCAGCCAAACATTGTCACAGTGGTGAACAATTTAGTGTTTGTTACTAAACTCAGCAAAACACTGTCACAGTGGTGAACCATTCAGTGTTTGTTACTAAATTCAGCCAAACATTGTCACAGTGGTACACCATTTAGTGTCTGTTACTGATATCAGATGTGGACGAGTGGGTTCTGTTAATGTTACCGATGTGATACAACTACTGTTACAACGTCTCGTCTATGTGTTACCATTATTGAAATTTAGAACGAAGAGACTGAAGTGTACTTCTGGATTGAAGTTAACCCAATGCTTGGATTTCTAGCTTCAGTTCCCACATAGAAAGATTCAAATTATACCTTTACCCTCCACATACACGGCAACGGTATCAGACATGTATAACAATTGTGACACGTGACCATTGTCTCGTACTTACGCGCGTGAATCGTGTGTCATAGGGTTACGGACGATAAGACACCGAGCAGTGACCTGTGAAGTCTCAGAGTTTTTGCATCAACAGTCACACGACATAGATAAATGTTGTATCATTGTAATCCTGACATTTAAATATCCAACTTTGATACGTTTGTTTTCGGAAGAAACCCGAGATTTGATTTCAATAATCGTCTATGTATTTTGTGGTGTTTACTGAGCAAAACGGCCTACTCTCAGGTACCATACTGTCAACTACAGGGGTAACTACACCCAGGTGACCTTACCGTCAACTACAGGGGTAACTAACACTCAGGTACCATACCGTCAACTACAGGGGTAACTACCACTCAGGTACCATACCGTCAACTACAGGGGTAACTAACACTCAGGTACCATACCGTTAAATACAGGGGTAACTACCACTCAGGTACCATACCGTCAACTACATGGGTAACTAACACTCAGGTACCTAACGTCACATACAGGGGTAACTAACACTCGGGTACCATACCGTCAACTACAGGGGTAACCAACAATCAGGTACCTAACGTCACATACAGGGGTAACTAACACTCATGTACCATACCGTCAGCTACAGGGGTAACCAACACTCAGATACCATACCGTCCACTACAGGGTAACTAACATCCATGTACCATACCGTCAACTACAGGGGTAACCAACACCCAGGTAGAATACCGTCAACTACAGGGGTAACTAACATCCATGTACCATACCGTCAACTACAGGGGTAACCAACACCCAGGTAGAATACCGTCAACTACAGGGATGACAATTACTTAGGCACCATATCGTCATTTACCAAAACAACGTGAAGATCCTACCAAACATCACGATCTACAA